GAAATCTGGTGTCTTTTCATGAATCTATGAAACCTACTGCCAGCTAGGAATTCCAAGTCCTAGTGAATAGAATTGCTCCCACGAATTCCCCACTGCTGCATTCTGGAAATCTTTCTGGAAGCAGTCTGCTTCATCTTTCTCCTATGGAGCTGCTGGTGGGTTCAGACTGCAAATCTTTTGATTGGCAGCAGGGCACTTTATCCACTGTGTCACCAGTGCATCTCTTCATTGCCACTCCACAAAGCTCTCACTTGAAAGCACTTAATTATTCTACCATTCTTGGAGATTGTGTGTGTGTGTGTGTGTGGCGGGGGTTGTGGGTGGGGGGAACTGTGATCTGAGAAGAGTACTTGTTGTCTTTGCAAATGGAAGGTATTTGCAAAGATTCCCGCCCCCCGCCCCCGCACTCAAAGAGGTCTGTGTCCTTGAAGATGAAATACAAATAACCCCCATGCTGTTAATTATTGGCATGTGGGCCCACTTGCAACCTAAGGAAATAGTTACAGGTATCGTTACTAGTTAACAGATATCGGTTGAGAAGCGTTTAAAAGGAGCTCCATCTGAGGTTTCCATATTCGCCTCCCACCATTGCCAACAAGACCTGCAGTAGCAACCATGAAGTGGCTGGTGATTCTTCTCATTTCTCTGCTACGCTTTACTGAATCTAGAACACTGCATAAAAATGTGTATGGAATAGGTAAGCTCTTTGGGGTATTTTTTGTGTGTGCCTTTTTTCGGTATCAAAATTCTGACCTTTGTATTTATTCATTTATGTCTTGTTAATTAATCACATTTTATTTTACACAGGGGGAATATAGTAAATTGCTTGGCATATTTTAATGAAAAGTTAGACATATAGGTGCTACAATATTGGTTTGTCTGACTAGTTCATATGCTCCTGGTTGAATTAATTCCATGTGTGTTATATATTTTTAAAATCATTTTATTGGGGGCTCGTACAATTCTTATCCATGTGTGTTATATAAACTGTGCAAAAGATAAACATATATCAGGTCTCAATCCTGACTTCTTCACGTATAAAGCTTCCTCAGATTGTTAAATAAATAACATCTAATTATTTTGCGTATCAGAAAAATGGGCCATTGTTTGAATATCTGAACGAGAAACATGGTGACAAGCCAGTTGTGGTACAATTATGTTGAGAAGGAGGACCATTTGTTTGGTCGAGCTAATTAGAGTACCGTGGTCAGAGGAACCCCAAACAAGCAAAGACGTCTGAGTGGACTCCTAGGTCCGTTAGAAGTTATTCTTGTTAATTTTGCTTCCTTGGCTTTCTGAAGTATAAAATTAAGATGATTTGATAGGTGATCCCTCATGTCTCCCCACTTCTAAAATTACATCACTGTAACATAATTACAAACATTTCCATATAACACCAATTCCTTTCTTGGTTGCTGTTGAACACATAATTTTTCACCATTTCTTTTTCTTTTTTTTTTGCTTTTCAGCTTCTGTATTGAATTCTCCCCAATGTTCTTCAGAGATGAATATCGATGACCTGTAAGTTTTGCTCATCAAATGGATACACTATAAGCCTGATAAGCAATGATAACTTTAGTTAGGTAATCATACTATGAAATTTGACAGTCTTCTAAGTTTCAAAAGCACCAAAGCAGGTTAGAAAACACCTCAAAAAATTCTAGAAGTATTAACGTCTAGATTTCTTGAAATGCCACGAGTGAAACCAAAATAGATACAACGAGGAGTAAATAAATGGGATCGGATGTTAGAATCAGACAACGAGCTCTGAGCAGAGGAAATCACTGACAAACAGGCATCGCAATGTTTACCATCAAAAGCAATAAGATGACTACATCACTATTCCGTAGACTATTTAAATTCTAGTAGCAAATCGTTCTATTTGCTTCTAGGAGAGAAGTGTACTGTTTTGTGTGAAATGTATTGGAAACGATATTCCCTTGAATGCTCTCCTTCCAGTCTATATTTCCAAAGTTTCTCACAGCAGTGTGCTGCTGCTGTTCTACTCACACCACAAACAGAAAACAAAAGCAACTAAGCAAGCTTATGCTTGAGGAGAACAAGGTTCATTATGTCTATAGTTTACATTGTGTCCACATCTATTTTTGGTTTCAGAGCTACCATATTTTTTGCCCAGTTTGTTCCAAAGGCCACTTATCAGGAAGTGAACAAAATGACAAACGATGTAGTGGCTGTGATTAAGAAACCCACGGGTAGTGAGCAGCATGGAGAGTGCTCGGATAACCAGGTGAGTGAATAACGAAACAAAGCCCTGTGATGCTTGCCTAAACCCTCACCTGCACAGGAAAAGATTCAGGAAGGACCTGAGAGGTATATGTTTAAGTATTGGAAGAGCTCCTTGTGTGGGTGAAGGACTAGATTAAGCTGAATTGCTAAAGAGGAAGCAGAGAAAACAAAGGGTAGCGATTTTGATGAGACAATAAGCATGGTGCCCAGGAGCAAAGCTTCTGAAGTAAGATTGTTTTGGGAACCTTGTGCTCATGACTTAAGTCATTTGAGCTACAGTTGTTTTATCTTTAAAACTAGGAATAATTCTCATTTTTATTTCGGGACCATCAAAGTAGCTAATTTTAAATACGGGTTCAAACATGTTGATGATCCCGAAAATGGCACAGCCCAGGACAACGCTTCCCTCTGTTGCACAGAGGTTGCTTTGAGTTGGAATCAATTCAGCGAACACTAATGACAAGAACGAATTGTATTACGCATAGACAATGTGATGGTTCTATTCTAACGATTGATGTTCCAAGTGCTTCATGACCCTAGTTCTTCATGAAACTGACAAACAGAATGACGATCAGTGCGTCAGAAGAGACTGGTTGGAGCTATTTGCTTGGGGGTATTGGCAGGTTATCAGTTCTGCTTACGAATTACCTAGTGAATCTTTACAGTAATAAATACCAATCTTCTAAGCGAGGAAACTGAGGAACAGGGAACTTTCCTAATGGAACAGCAATGGCAGAGGCAGGATTTAAACCTGGCAATCTAGCTCTCGAACTAATCCTCACAGCAAGTTCATTACGCTATATGTGTACTGATTACTGTGCTGTCCTAATTGTGAGCTGCATCCATAGTACATAGATTGTAAGATTCGGTGAACGGAAACAGCTAGGATATAATATTC